TTGTCTCAGATATTTTATCTTTTTTCTGGACATGTGCCGATATGGTCATCTGCTTTTGCTTCTTGGACATGTTAAATGTTTATCGGTGGCCCTAATAATTAATTAAGTATGTACTTTGATAATTTTTTATGTTTTCTGATTGCCTTCAGGAAGTTGTGATCAGGATGTGGTCTTCCCTTTTCACTCTCCTTATTGCTTAACTCAGAGTAACTCTTACAGGTGTTGTCTGTTTCCCTGGTTTATGGCAGATGGTATTGGTTCTTGCCAGGGTTTTGGTATTTTAAAAAGTGTTATTGCAGCTTGGCTATTTGGAAGCAGTTGCTGACTCTTTTCATGTAATGTAGCGGGACAAAGAGTCCTCCAATAGCAGAAGGGAGGCTATGTGACAGCTCAACAACACCAGTTGGGTAGAAAACAAAACCAAAATCAAAATAAAAAACAAAAGCGATAATGAGATAAAAACAAAGGAAGACAAAAAAAAAAAAAGAATTCAGCATCAGAAAAAACAACGAGATTAAATAAGGCAATCTCTAGTCACACACACACTCACAAAAAGAAAGAATGAAAAAAAAAAAAACAAATAAAAAACCAACCCTGTATAGGGTTTCTAAGGAGTACCTGGTGGGCTCGAACCACTGATCTTGCAGTTCAAAAGGCTCTGCAGTCTGGTCCCTTAACCTGCAGAGCCACAGCAGGACTGCCTTGTTGCTGGCCGTAAAATCCACCTCAAAGCATCTTAGCTTGTGCTGGCTTGTGCCTTGAAGGGCAGGCCTGAGCCTTGGAGGTTGGGCAGAGGGCTAGCCTAGGCAGAGGGGGTTGAGGGTGGGATTAGTGGCTGCAGGCAGATGGCATCCCTGTCTGATGACATAAAAAAATGGCTCTCTGTCTCCCTGTGCCGTGGGCACCTGGCCTGTCCTACATCCACACCGACAATGCCTCCCATGGCAATGAGGCGCCCCCCCCCCCACGAAGGACCATGCCAGTTCCTGTGGCCCCGCCGGCTCTCTGGATGCACCCACCCTCGAGCCCCTCACGCAGTCCCAGAGCGGGAGCCGAGCGCAGGCGAGTGCAGGCCGGCAGAGGCCCAAAATGCCCACAACTCCCCAGCAGCACAACCCTTCAAAAAAGCAGTGTTGGAGGCTAAAGTCTTATGTTTGCCCAAAGGCTGTCTGTCTACCCGGTGGTGGCCTCCCCTGTGTGATACCACCCACCCTTCCCCGGAGCCCTCGCACCTGTGCTGCCCCGTCAGGGAAGCGTCGCTATAACATATTTTTACAGTAATGATTTGTTAAATTATTATATGATCTTGGTTTTCAGAGTAATGTATATGAGTATGTTTGTAGGTAGGAGACATGTAGCACATAAAATGCATTTTTCATCTTTTATTTTGTACAGAATATACTTTGCATTTGTTCTTTTGGAATCAATCGTGTCCAAAAATATCAAAGAGCACTAGGATTTGGAGTGGGTGATTTGGCATACATTTTCTAAAAACTATGCCACCATGTTATTTCCACATGTGATTTCACCCTTGTGTCTGATTGTCAGATTGGAGAGTTTTGGGATTTTTCCTATATATAGAACCTCTCATTTTTAAAGAAAAAATTGTATCAATGCCTGCAGCCTAAGTTGTTTAATATAAAAGCATTTTATTGGAGACATTTCAAAGTAGAATTTATTCTTCCTTTTTCCTTCATAGGTATAAAGATCCACGCAGATGGACTGTTTCTTTTGGGGCCACACTAAAGCCTTCAAAAGAGAAACAAGGTCTCAAGAGGATAATTGTCCATGAACAACACAAACACCCATCACATGACTATGATATTGCAGTTGCAGAGCTTTTTAGACCTGTTACCTACACAAATGCTGTGCATAGAATTTGCCTTCCTGACGCTTCCCATGCATTCCACCCAGGTGAACATATGTTCGTAACAGGATTTGGAGCAGTTAAAAATGATGGTGAGCATCTGGAGAGAAACACAAATTATAGTAATATAATTTGGTCCTCTAATGTATTTAAAGAATGGAATGTCATTATGCCAAAATAAATTGACATATATATCAAATTATACAACTATATACAATACATATACAATTATACAATATATATGTTGTTGTTGTTGTTATGTGCCTTCGAGTCGGTTCCGACCCATAGCGACCCTGTACAGGGTTTCCGAGGGTGTAAATCCTTATGGGAGTAGAAAGCCTCATCTTTCTCCTGCGGAGCAGCTGGTAGTTTTGAACCACTGACCTTAAGGTTCGCAGCCCGATTTGTAACCACTACGCTACCAGAGCTCCTACAATATATATATACACCAGGGCCAAGTCAGACCCTACTAGAGAACTATGCTTTGAGAAGACATAAATTCCTTTAATCCTTAGGTTACTATTAAGTACATTACTATTACAACAGTTATGGTACTTTGTAAGGTGTCTTTTTACTAGGTAATTAACCCTTATGAGATTGTTGTTGTTATTATTAAGTGTCATGGAGTAAGTTCTGACTTATTGCCACTCTGTATAGGGTTTCCAAAATACAGCTGGTAGGTTTGAACTGCTGATCTTGTGGTTAGCATTTCAGTGCTTAGCCTACAGCACCACACCAGGAGTCCTTAGGAGTTTAGAGATCATGAATAGACTTAACTTGAAAGATCACAGAGAATCACAACCCCACCCTTTTCCCATACTGCAATTTTCTTCTAAGGTAAGAGATGGAGTGGGAATTTACTTAGGGGACTTGAAGAGCTTTCCTAAACACTTAGTTTTGCACTTAAAGCAATTAGGAAGAAATTTGACGAACAATTTCTTTCCAAATATTAATGTATCTGAAAAATATATATTCTAAGAGTTGGCATCACTTTGTTAGATAATAATTATGTAAAGATTTCTCCAAATTTATAAAACATTTAAAGGGGCTTTTAAAAGTTCATGGAAAAAGGGAATTTAAAGATAATGGAAAATTTCCATGAACTTTTGGAAGTACCTTCCTCTATATAACCACCAATATTTTTCCCCTTTAGGTACAAGTCAAAATCGTCTTCGGCAAGTGCAAGTGGATCTGATAAGCACTAAAACATGCAATGAACCTCAGGCTTACAATGGTGCCATAACTCCTAGAATGATATGCGCTGGCTTCTTGAAAGGAAATAGAGATGCATGCCAGGTAAGTGTTTTTACCTAAAAGTATGACACAGGCTTCCTTGCTAACTTTCTTATTTTGAAATAATTATAGGAAGTTGAAAAGACGGCACAGAGGGTATAATGTACTCTTCACCCGATTTCCCCCAATGGTTACATCTTCTATAACTATTATTGTGGTTACGTATCAAGTCAGCCTCTAACTCATGGCAACCCCATGGGTTGCAGAATAACTTGCTCTATAGGAGTCTCTTGACTATTATCTTTACAGACACATTACCACGTCTTTCTTTAAAAACTAGAAAAATGACATGATAAAATGTGTACTTAATAGTTCTATGGCTTTTTATCATTGTAGATGAGTGTCAGGAGGCCTGGTGATACAGCACGTTAAGTGTTGAGCTACTAAAGGCTTATTGTTCATACATACCAGCTACTCCACAGGAGAAACATGAGGGATGCTATGAGTTGGAATTTACTAGATGGCAGTGAGTTTGATTTCAGCTTAGATTAGTGTAACAATCATCACAAAGAACTCTGGTGGACTATGGGATCAACATTGGATGACTAACTACAAGGTCAATAGTTCAAATTCACCAGCTACTTCAAGGGAGAAAGATGAGGCTGTCTGCTCCTGTAAAGATTTACAGTCAACAGTTTGAGCTCACCACTAGAATTAACTCAATAGTATTTACCAATATCAAGAACATAACTTATTAGAGTCTACAGGTAGGTGTCAACATTTTACTATTTTGGGGCAAAGTGTAGAATAGGAAACTTACTTCCCCTTAAGTCCCTTTACCCTTTCTAATTTATAATATTAAAAATTAATAGGTATAAATATAAATATTAAACATTTCCTCAACACATATTGAGAATTACATTGGAGAAAGTGTTTGCTTCAATTGTCAAACGTAACATAGAATACTAAAAAGGAGAAGGGGAATCTACTGTATTTATCCATAGTTTTCTTTTTCTGTTGTTCTTCTCTGCTTTCTAATTTTCAAAGACTTCTTTTATCATTTCTTTTGTCACTCTTTAAAGTATGTAATGTCAGTAATAGACTGGCCTAGGTTTTTTTGTTTGTTTGAAAACAAATCTTTATTTTCCCTGGATTTCTGAGGGATAATTTTATGGAATACAAAATTTGTTGTTGAAAGTTA